AAGACAACTCTTGGTTGCACAAGCGCCCTGTAGGAGCTGGGCCGCCGCCGGGGTGGCTATCGGGTGGAGACACGCCGGCGACCCCAGCCCTTGCTGCTAGGCGGCCGCCGGAGCAGTTAGAGATAGCGGCGAATAGCCCGACACAGGTGGGCGTGATGCAAACGCCGACGAGACCGAGTGCGAGCTTACCACTCCAAGAAGTAGGCGGAGAGGAGCTGCAACCCCAAGGAGGGGCGGCGGAGGAAGCCGTCGCAAATACCCAGCTTTCCATCCCGGAGCAGCCCATACAAGTCACGCCCAGCGCGTTGGAAAGAATGATAGCGGCGGCGGTGGAGGCTAGACTGGCGTCGGTTTCACCTCCGGGAAGGTTGATGACGACAAGACCGGAAGCACAGGGCTTAGAGGCTCGACCCTCTACCCTGGCGCGCGAAATGGCGACTCGACACGAAGTGTTGGGGCGCGAGGAAGTAGATCGACCTGTGAGGCCAACCGGAGGTGGGGGCGAGCATGAGCCGGAGCAATCGGTCCACTCGTCAGGAGCTCCACTACAGCATGCAAGGGACTCGATCATCGAGCGCATGGCGGAGCAGTTGCGCGAACTCCAAGAGAAGGTCGAAGGACGTCGAGGCCCCTGTCGTGCAGGTCACCCGTTCGCGGACGAAGTGTTAGGCGCGGATTTGCCTCAAGGGTTTCGGGAGCTCACCATGTCGTATGATGGCTCTACAGACCCAGCTCGACATCTCAGGAGTTTCGAGAACATAGCGGTGCTACATAGGTATAGTGATCCGGTATGTTGCAGGGCCTTTCTCACCACGCTGAAGGGTGCGGCCCAAGATTGGTTCCACCAACTGGCGCCCGGGGTTGTCAAAGATTTTCGAAGCTTTAGTTCGTTGTTCACCAACCAGTTCGCAAGCGCGAGGAAGCACGAGAAAACATACTTATCCCTGATACACGTACAACAGAGGGAAGAAGAGACGTTGCGAGCCTACATAGCCCGTTACACCCGC